ACAAGTATTTCATCTCATTGTTCATAGCTTGAGCAACACTTGATCAACAACATCTTCTAGTGCATTATCGTAACTAGTAGGATCAATATCACTCAACAAGAGACAACTTGAGAGTTAACAAGGTTCTCTCCCATTACGAATGTACTGCACTAGACCTTGTGTATTTATAGGTAAAACAAAAAGTGGGTCAAATGATGGATCTTCAATTTCTTGAGGATCCGCTTATCCTTGATATTGTTCCTTTACATGTGATACCAATATTTCTACTAGTTTCACTTATATATTATCATGTTGAATTTCCAATCATGGTTCTCTTGTTTGTTCACTTAGAGATATATCTATCCCCTCTTGAACAATCAAGGGAACAGTGGATGAAGCTTCTAGAGATTCTGGAAATTCTTGATCTGAGATAAATCTCATCAAGAATAACCTAACTTAAAAGCTTATAATTTCTCATCTAGTCCTCCTTTAAGAAAATCATGTGAGTGCTCACTTAGATTATCTTGTCCTTAAGACTAAATAAGAAATCATCCCTAGTTCTCTTAGGGTAGCCAAAAGATATGCACTCTTCCATACAAGATTCCATCTTATTTGACTGCTGTTGTAGGACGTGTGTCGTAGCACCCTAAATCCGAATATGGTTTGATCTGGGCTTGCACCCTTTCCATAATTCTTTAGGTGTCTTTACAACAAACTTTGACGGAATCAAGTTAAGAAGGTACATTTCCTTCTCTTAGGCATCTCCCTTGAACAACATTGACAAAAATGAATAACTGAACATGATCTTCACCAAGTCTAGAAATGTTTGATTTTTGCATACTGCAACTTCATTCAACTAACGCGTTCTTAGAGTTGACAGTTACGAAAACTATCCCCTCTTAAATCAGGTAAGACCTGAAATTACCAGACAGGTAGCCAAACACTTTAGTAGACCAAAATGGTTTTTGATTTGAACACCTACATGCTTTTCTGCCTCAGACTTACACCTCTTGGAAATTTTCAAAAGCGTTAGACTTATGGCGCACTTGGTTCATCTGTCCAAATCAAGAGTAAACATTCATATAATGAAGTACTCATCACCTCTTCTGGTCTGAACGCTAATTGGTCCACATACATTAGTATGTACCAGTTCCAGTTAAATAGTTGCGCAAACCTTTTTGGCCCTTGTAGGATTGCTTGGCCACTTTACCTTCCAAATAGGACTAACATGTAGCTGTTAGTTAAAAGATTCTTGAACTTTCAGTCTCTCTTTTAACTAAAACATATTTTCTACTTGAGATAATGTGACTCAATCACAAAGGCCAAAGTTATGTTTCATTTGAAACTTTTATTCTTTGGTGAAAATCCTTGTTCATCATCCTTTCCATTCAACACAAAAATTTAGGGGGTATAAGACAAAGGTAATAAAGACTATTTAAACAATGTACCAGAAAAAACAAGACGAAGATGAACTTCGAAATGTAACTGAGGAATCAATTGCATTGTCAACCCATGTTTTAACCAAAACAACTAACAAAAATTGAATTCCTCTTGAAATCTGGAACAAATAAACAGTCACCCAAAACCATAGTCTTATTAATAACTTGTCCTACTGCAAATGCAGACACAAGTTCCCAATTTCAAGCTTAAAATATCTATGTCCATTGCTGACAGGTATGCCATGTTTGAACTACTACAAAGAGTAACAAACATAATCAGTGATTCCTGAATCAATAATTCATTCACTGATCAGGCCTTGATATGCCCATGTCAGGTTCTTTTCATCACCTCTGGGCAATTTTTCTTTCAGTATCCCTTCAGTCTGCACTTGAAGAACTTGCCTTGCGGCTTCTTCATAGCAACTGGTTTGACAACTGATAACCAAGTCATTTTGTTCTTGTTACCACCCTTGGGTTTCCCTTTGGATTTAACAAGACTCTTAGCAAAACCTGCACTGACTGCATTCTGTCTAGCAGAGCTGCTAGACGCAGCAAACATGTCATTAAGAGTCTGAAGCATTTCTACTCCACTCTTAATCATGTACACTTGTTTCTGCAAGTATTTAGAAAGACTGACAATAATATAGCAGCGAACTACCATATCTGCCCTTTCCTAATCTGAGAAATGCATCTTAGTTTCCGAAGACGCATCCTCTGCAGCTTGCTATGGCCCTCGCATTGTCAGAACAAATTTTAGCTTCCATGTTTTAGAACAATATCAAAAAAATTTCTTTTCACTTATTCATAGTTGGTACTATCTAGAGGTTTTCGACTCAAAATCATTTCTAAGATATTTTCTGAAAAACATATAAAGCACACAATTACAAACAAATAATGCAATAAACAAACGAAGTGCAAGTAGATTCTCATAACTACTCTTGTTTATTGTTAACAATCCTTCAGTTTATCTTTACAAGGCTCACGATGGGCAAGTCACTTGTAAAAACCAAAATTGTTATTTGGGCCTTCAGTGCCATTGCCAGAGCCTCGATGGGAGGGTTAACAATTTTACCAAAGTTGAATGTAATTAACCATTGTTTAATTTCAAAATTATCCTTAGTGTCTAAGCATTGCCGACGATGGGCCGTACAATACTTTACTAAAATTTTGAAATTATTAAGATTTAATCTAGTGAAATCTGATTATCCTTATCCGATGGGGCTTCAGCGATAACCATTTCACTAATAAACCCACAAATGGAGCCCGCAGGTTTTAAAATTAATTAATTTTTAAAACCTTCACCCATTCAACATTTTTGTTTGAGAATTTTCATAAGCCCAGTCGAATTCATTGTTTAATTTCAAAATTATCTTTAATAACTTTGAAATTATTAAGGCCCAATAAAATCCAATCATGCTTATCCGTTGGGGCCTCACATGATTATTTTATTGATAGGCCCACAATGCGCCTGGAGGTTAAATTAATTTCTTAATTTAAATCTCCTCCCATAGATATTTAAGTCCAATCTAATAAAATCTAATCATGCTTATTCGATGGGACTTCACATGATTATTTTATTAATGGTCCTATAATGCGCTTGAAGGTTAAATTAATCTCTTAATTTAAATCTCCTTCCATTCAACATAAGCAACATTTTCTAATTTCCAAGAATTATTTAATTGAGAGTATCCTTTGTTTGATTTCAAAAACTATATAAGTAAGAGCGCCGATAAACGTGCACTAAGCTTAACATAATTTTGAAAGCATTAAGGTCCTGAAATCCGGTCACTTTACGTCAGCGTGTGCTCCAAACAATCATGATACATGAATGTTGTATGCAGCGTGTGTTATTCCATGACCATTTTAGAAAACCCACAAATTACTCGCAAAATAAAAGAATTCTCTTAGGAAATTTTTTCTAATTATTTTTCTAGATTTAAATCATCCAAATAGTTGACTTAATTATTAATCTAGATTGCAACAATCATAATAATTATCATTTATGAGGATAATTTGAAATCAAAATAATTTCCATAACGATTATTTGTCTTGATGTTAATTATCCAAAATTAATTAATTCAATTATTAATCTAGATTTTTAATAAAAATCATAATAATTATTAATTAATTTCTTAGGATGATTTAAAATCAAAATAATCTCATAATAACTATCATACTAGTCGCTGAAGACATAATAGCTATTATGCTCATGCAATCATACAAGTTATGCAACAATATGGCACCACCTATTCTATATGGCATGTTATCGCAATAAAGCATGTTATCAATCATATAATTTATACCAATCAATAAAAGCATTAAATAATAAATCATAATTACTTTAATCCATGACCTTCCTATTTTAAAGAAAATAAAATAAAATAAAATTAAATAATACAACTTTGGAATTCGACTTTCGCCTAGCCCATAGTATCTGTGTCAAGCCCCTTTAGGGTTTCATGGGCCCAAAAGCCCAAAGACCCAATCCTTTGGCGAGAAACCCTAGGACGCGAAAGAGGAACCCTAGCCGTCAGGTCTGCCGCGCCGTCACCCGAAGTCAAATCAGGCTGAAACTCCAGGAGAAGGACCGCCACGTAGAGACGAGTGCATCGCCGCCGGAACCACCCAAAAAGGTGGCCGGACGCTCCCTCACTCTCCCATTATTTTCTGGAGAGTGGCGGCCACTCTCAGCCTCTTGTGGAGGCGCGTGGTGGAGCGTGGAGTCTCCGATGGCGGTGATCCACCCACCGTTGCGTTCGTATTTCCGTCCTCTTTCCAACCATATATAGATCTTCTGATTCCGAGATCGGGAAGACCTCGAAAAGTCTTCGACAGTACTGACTGCGCATCTTACTCGCGGTTTCTCGATCTTGAACTTTTACAAAATATTGGAAAAATACACAGAAATTTCGAAAATAAATAAAAACAGCAAGGAGGAAACCTAATCATATGGGATTAGCCTCCTTGTTACAAATCGAGAAATACACGAGAGACCCTAACCATGGATTAAAGCATTTTTACCGATTAAAATTTAAACTTTTATGAAAATGAATTATAAAATACACATGCTAGATTCATACCATAATCCTAGAATCCTAGGTGCCACATTTCAAGAAGCAAAACTAATTACATGAATAGTGAAACTAGATTCACATACCAATGTACAGCCAAGGCTCTGATACCAATTGTAGGAAATCTTAGATTTATGCGGAAGCGGTTTAGGACCTAGTACATTGGTATGCTTACTGAATCATCATTGTTTCACAATTACCTCTCGGTGTGCAGGTCTCGTGTAGAATCTTCCCTTGTAGGATTCCTCTTCACGAACAGCTCACCTCAGCGCCGCAGCACGAACAACCTCCTTGAAGCTGGACTGTGGCAGATCTTCCAAACTATCTCTCGAGGAGGAAGGGGAAGTGTGTGGGCACTGATTAGATTCAGAGCTTGCCTCTTTCTCACAAAAAAGACCTTTTTTTTTGGCTGATGACTTAAGAGGTACTATTTATATGGGTTCCAAGAAACCCTAGCTCATTGGGCTCTAGGTTCCTTGGGCTCTTCTCATACTAATAACCCATTTGGGCTTTAGTAAAAGAGCAAACCCAACAAAGGCTTGGCACCAAATTCAGAGGGCCATTGAACCTTATCAGGGCACTGTGGGCAGTACCCAATCTTATACTGAGGGGTGTTACTCCAAGACTTCTCACAAAAACAATCCAACACCGCATAAAAATAATTATCAGACAGATCGAATAGGTGATCAATATTTCCAAAAACCTGAATGTCAGCGTCTAGATATATCATCTTGCTGTACTCCACGAACTGCAACAATGATTAAATTAATCACAGTAAAGAAACACATCAGAATCTGCCACATAATTAAAACAGAACACTTCTATTGTTTACAATTGCTAAAGTGCAAAAAAATGAAATTATGTTGAAGTAAAAGACACCTATATTACAACGTATAACACATGTAACAGTAAAGAAGGATGCACCGGCAAATACGAAGCTTGGAGTAATTAATGACAAAATAGTCACGGGCAAACTTGGTCTGATTCTCAGGAGGATGCACCGGTTCAATCTCCCTCACAAGGCAACCTTGGGAGTGAAGAGGGTACATGGTCTTGACCTTCCTCAGTCCTTTAGCCAAACTCACAACACCCTTGACATAGTCACCGTTCCCTGCTAAGAAAGTGACAAAGGCACGAGCACGGCCACTCTCAGGCATGGGTTGTTCAGCAGTAGCATTGGTGGCAAATTTGGTGGTATGAGTTGACATGATTTCAGTGAGGAAAGGGAGGAAGAAAAAGAAATTAGGTTGAAGGGAATGAGTAGCTAATAAAGAGAAAGTTGTTCACTAAGCTAAGAAGAGATTTTGAATTGCAATGTGAGAAATGAGTTGGGGTTGCTTATACATGTAGGAGAGTTTGACCTTTTATTTTGGAAGGTATCTCTAGAATTTGATCCACCGGATTGTCTTGAAATCATAACGCACCCTTAACCATTGATTTCCGTTAATCAATCGTTATTATTTTTTTTGGATAAAACTACTTAATTAATTATTAATTCGTAATAAATGATAATCATTTATTGACGGAAATCAACGGTTAAGATATAATAGTAAGTTGATAATAACATTATTTGATAGTAATAATATCATATTCCTTCCTTAATTTATATTATTAATTTACTCCACATTTCAATTTAGAATTTCGTCCTGTTTAATACTGAAATTAATCTTTGCTATATAGTATTAAAAGATAGGATATTGTGACACCCAAGTTATGTTACACCCATGTGATACCCAGTCAATCTCACCATTAGATCGCTTATGTTGATCCAACGGTTATATTTATTTCTATCTTTGTATGATCATGATTTCCCAAATTTAATATTTTATATTTATTTCTACCTTTGTATGGTTATGATTTTCCATATTTAATGCTTTCACTTTAAATTTGGGAAATCATAACCATACAAAGATGGAAATAAATATAACCGTTGGATCAACATAAGCGATCTAACGGTGAGATTGACTGAGTGTCACATGGGTGTAACATAACTTGGGTGTCACAATATCTTATCCCTAGTATTAATACATACATACATACATACACATATATATATATATATATATATACATATATATATATATATATATATACATATATATATATATGAGGTTTACATTTTTACAGCTACTGTACATGCAACAATCAAATTCTTGCCATATATATACTTGAAAACATTAAATGCGAGGAATCATAACCATACAAAGGATGAAAGCATTAAATGTGGGGAATCATAACCATACACTTGTCGTTGCTATACGTAAAGCGGCTGCAGAAATGATTTTTTATATATATATATATATATATATATATATATATATATATATATAAGGTTCGCTTTTTCTGCGGATAAATTATCTGCAGTAAGTCCATACGGCGTCATGTTGGGGCAGAAATCATGGTGTTTTTGTAATTTTAATTTATTTCAAGGTTATAATAGTCTTTATATTTATAATTTTTAAAAAATTATAAATATCAAAACAACGTCGTTTTGGGAATAAATGCAGATAACGTATCTGCAGTAACTGCAGAAACATTTTTTTTTCATATATATATATATATATATTATTTTTAAATTAATATCTATCTTATTTTCTCCTTCTTCCAATATTTTAAAAATAAATTAAATATAAAACAATTTCTACTTTATAATGTAAAAATTTAATTATATTTTATTAATAACATCATTTTAATGATATTTATGTAAAAAGAGAGAATAAATGATGAAGTAATAAAATTTAAGATGTGTGACAGTATTTGTCAAGCAGCAAAACCTAGTAAATCCCACTAATTAGGTCTGTGAGATTTTAAGTGTGATATATGGACAATAAATTTTCATCCATTATATTTTAACAAATAATTTAAAAAAAATGAGAGACAGTATTAATAGATGTGCAATAATAAATTAGACCAAATTAATAATTTTAATTTGAATTCTATTCCTAATATATATTGTTGTACACTCTACATTTAACATTGCAATATCATCCAAAATTAATAGTTATTGGATTAAAATTGATAATAATAATAATTATTGTTTGGCAAGTGACTTTTTACACATGATGCTTATGGAACATCTAGAGAGGGTGTGAATAGGTATTCTAAACTTTTTCAAAAACTTTTTCTTAGTAGATCCTTAGATTTTTAAAGTCTAGACAAAGTTGAACAATTAAGCTCAATCACCACACCAACTAACTAGTTAACAGAAATCAATTTATATTACTATTTGAATTCAGTAAACAATTACACAACTTTTCTTCAATCCCTATATGCCCAAAATAATTTTTCACAATGCTAAGAACAATGTAGTAACAGAATGCGTACCTTAGCAATTTATAGAGTATAAACGCAGCAATGTAATTTTCTTAAACAAAACAGAAAAATATTAATTCTGCTACAACACTTTTAAACCAGAAATCAATGTTACTTTAAGTCTCTAAACAGAATATTCAGAAATTAAATCAAAGAGACAAGAGACGCACAATATATTCTGGTTCACACCCACTAAGCCTAAGTAGGGTGCTATGTCCAGACTGAAATCGCTGCAGATATTTTATTTATCACAAGTGCACCTGTTTTACAAACACGCGTCACACAAACAATCAAACAAAATATCAAAAACCTTCCTAGTTCCTACACTGCTCCAAGCTCTAAGAAATTTCAATCCAAAATCTTAAGGTGTTAGGTGAGGAGGGACTTTTAACACATCCCTTAAGGCAAGAGTCCATTTGGACTTGAAGGTAGATAGTGTATAGACTCAAATTTTTTTCTTTTTGGTTTACCTTATGCTTATTTAATTCCACCCGAAAGTTGGGGCAGTGAAGATCGAAATCATGATATTATATTTACTGAAACTCTGATACCGAAATCATGATATTATATTTACTGAAACTCTGATACCATGTAAAAAAACTCTGATACCACATAAAAAAATCATTTTAATCCAAAAATTTAAAGTGTGTTAGACGAGGGTTTTATTCTCTCTCTATATATATTGACTTTGCATGATGACCCTACGTACACTGTTAAAGATGTATATATATTGACTTTGCATGATGACCCTACGTACACTGTTAAAGATGTTTTAGTTTTATACTTACATCCTCATTTTCTGATTGGTTCTTTTCGGCCTCGATTTCACGTCAGTATCAGTATGATATAATATGCTCGGATCTAACTACGAATAAATAATCAAGCAAATAATGTAGTGAAGGTCCTCAAGCAAATGAACAAACTCACAATTAAAAGCACATGTAATAAATATCAATAATTAACTTTTTAATCGGTTACCTTTTAAGTCATAATTTACTATTTATTTTCATCTGTTATATTTTAATAAATAACAAACCACTAGGAGTGATAAAGAGTTTAAATAAGTTGTATTAGATTATGTGTTCAATTCTCACTTGTTTCTAAAAAATAATAATAAAAGAGATAAAAAATAACTGCATTCATTTAATATAATTTATATGCATGCACTACAAAAAAACGTGTTATTAATAGAGGTTATTTGTTGGAGGTCATTGAAACCTCAAAAAGAAAAAAAAAAAAAATATAGATTGTGGCATTTTTTCAAAAACACCATATTATATTTGTATTGTAGTCAAATTCTGTAGTTTTCTTCGTACTTTTCTTTCTCTCGATTGTGATTAGGCACACTAATTAGAAGCTGAGGATACAAAATTCGGTTCTGTTATTTTTGTTCATACTTTTCTTTCTCTCGATTGTGCCCGCCAGAACATTTATACTTTTCAAGTTTCATCTCCATCTTCTTCCTCAACCTCCATCGTGAGTTTATGATCGCTGACAGAGTTCATTTGCAATTGACGACTTTTTGGGTGCTTCGGGCATGGGATTCGAGCTCTTCTCTCATTGCTTGCACAAGATGATGCATATTCAAAGCCATCATTGTCGCCGCGTTGAAAACCCTACAAATAGCACAAACCATCTCCAATTTCTCCTCTTCCTCCGCTAAATTCTAACTTCCTTCTTGGATTAGAATGTTTCTGAAAAGCATTATAGTGTGTAGTATGTGGAATATGAGATCCTAAACTTCCAATCTGCATTGGTTCTGTTTTTGCTTTGCTTTCTGTAACACTCCGTTCTAGAACCGGTTTGTTAACATTGCTATATGATATTAAGCGCAGTTACAATCATATTGGTTAAATTAAAAACACGGATAAATTTTCATTTTCTTTTTAAAACTTACTTGCTCTTCCTCTTTAACAATGCCGAGTTTAAAATAACCAATTGCGTGACCATAACCTTATTACCTTGCGGAACAATCAAAACTAGACTTAACATCATATTGTTATCTTGTTCGAGTTCAATACTAAACTCTCTTCATTTTTTTATTAAATTGTAATACTTGTAATTAATTTATAGTTCTCATCTCACACTATGTTATATATCCCTCAGTTAGCTACGCGTGGGTTCAAACCGCGCTCAAATCAGAGATTTGTAGCTCAAGTTATGACCATTTTAGTAAACTAGGTTGGTGCTATCTCGATATGCGCGCCCGAGCGCTCAAATGGGCGCTTGAGCGCCCACTGCGAAGAAATTTGGTCATCACAGGTCTTTCCGAGCGCCTGAGCGCCCAACTCAGCGCCTGAGCGCCCTAAACCAGGGCTTGATTGCCCAACTCAGCGCTTGAGCGCCATAAGTCAGGGGCTTTCACTCATTTTCACATATATTGAGCGCTTGAGCGCCCAACACCTGGGGCAAACTTGGTCTCCCCTGTTTTTGGGTGAATTCCTTGGGAAACTTTCTTCCCCTTTCATTCTTCAAGGGTCATAACACCTAATTGACATCATGTAGTCCTTCCAATACATGAATTCTAACATTTCAAGGTGCTCATATACTAAGAGAAACATGCATACCATTTCATCATACATATCAAAATGATAAACATATCTACACATTCAACAATTCATCAAGGTCTCTATTACATCATGGTTCTTACAAATTTCATATACATGCCAAAGGACTTAGCAACAAAAGGAACATGATCAAAGCTATAAGCCATTTACAACAAGGCATTCCTCACTACAATGATCATGCACTAAGTCCCTCAAAATACATAATGTGACATCAAAATATACATATAGCAATCCTAAATGTTTAGCTATCAGGTACAATCTACTCATGCTTCTTGCCTCGTTCAACCTCACCTCTATCAGTACCTGAAATGATGCCCCACAACACGGGG